AGTCAAGCCGATACAGTTCAGTCCTCAAAATCACAAACCCGGCCGCGCAGAAACATCGGGTTTTTGGCGTTTTTGGTTCCGCATATCATCATAATTTGGACGCCATGTTAAGCCATGCTAAGAGCCGAAAGTGCCGATCCTGCCGTGCTTTTCGCACATTGTTAGCAAGCAAACTGGGGCAAACGAGGGCGATGGACCCTAAGTTCAGGGTTTAGGGCTAAACCCCCTGCCCCTCAACCAAGGCTTCTTCCAAGGCTGTCTTGTCTGCGGCGAAGGCTTTCGGAGAAACCCCAAACCTTGAAACCACATCACCTAACAAGCCCTTTCAAAACAAAAACGAACAGACCGACACGACGGGGCCGGAATAATTTGAGTAAGGCTTTGGGGCATATTCTAGTGCCGCTATAATAATGACCAGCCCTAGTGAACAGTGACCCGTATGAAGCCCTCTAGAGCCTAAAACCCTAGAGCCAGACCTCCACCAGTCGCTCCTCTTTGACCACCTGCCGGCTGCCACGGCTCCAAAGCCCGGGTGTTATAGGGCTATTGTAGGGCTCTGCTTGTTTTGTTTCTGAAAGGGGGGTGCAGGGGCTTTATCGGGTTGATGGCTGATAGGGTTCTATCGGGCTTGAAAGGGTTTTGGAAGATATTAGAGGGCTTTAGGGGGCCTTGTTGGGTTTGCATCAGAACCCAACCACCCCTAGGGTTCGCTTGAGGCGCCCAAGACTCTGAGGTTGAGGGGCTTGGGCTTTAAGGGTTTGTGTGGGAGTTTCTGCTTTACCGGAAGCCCTAGATGGCTCCAAGGGGTTTTGAGGTTGTGGGGCTCTCGGGCGTTAGGGCTTTAAGGGCTCAGGGATGCGAGGCTTAGGGCTGTAGGGCTCTAGGGCTCTAGGGTCCTAGAGTTTCTAGGGCTTCAGGCTTTAGCACGTTAAAGGCGCAGGGGCTTTAGATTGAAGGTTTAGGCACTGAGCTCCTCAATCCCAAAGACGTCAGTACAGGTAGGACTGAAGAGTTCTTTAGAAGCCCCCGGTACGAACACTGCAGGGTTCGCTAATGGAGTTCCCTTTAAAGGTACTCTAGGGTTCTGAGTCATCGTCCTTGTTCTTGTCGAAATCGCCAGGGCCCTGATCGGGATCATCGGGCATCTCTGCCAGCCGCCGCTCGAAGTAACGAGTCATCGTCACATCGAACGGCTCGTCCCGGCTGATCATCCCTTCGCGCTCCATGTAGCGGATCAGCGACACCTCGAAGGGCTCATGCTCGTTGATGACTCCCTCGCGGATGGCCCATCGGAGCATCTCGTTGTTCAGCGGCATTGCAGGCAGCTGGGGTGTGTAGCATTGCGAAGACGAGTCATCCAGGTCACTGGCCGGGATAAAACCTGCCTCCTTCCCAGCCTCCAGGAAGCACCGCCCCGCTTCCAAAACACCCTGGACCCGTGCCAACTGCAAGGACGGACTCTGCTAGGGAATAGGGTTCCGTTTCAGGGCTCCTGCAAGGGTTCTACATTGTCTTGGAGTTTAGGATTTAAGCCTTTGAGCTGAACAGTCTTTGGTTTAGGCTTAGGGTTTTCAATGGGGAACTCGGGCCTCAAGATTTAGGGCGTCAGGCTTACCGCCAGTCTCCGCAAGGATCCCTGCATTCTGAACCTCGCATCCATGTCATTGTCTAAACTTTAAACCCTAAAC